CTTTGGGTAGTAATGACATTTTAACTATATTTATTCTTCCTATCCATGAGCATGGAATGTTTTTCCATTTCTTTGTGTCTTCTTCAATTTCCTTCATAAGTTTTCTATACTTTTCATCATACAGGTCTCTTGTACCCTTGGTTAGGTTTATTCCTAGATATTTTATGTTTTTTTGTGCAATTGTGAATGGGATCCGTTTCTTGATTTCTCTTTCTGTTGCCTCATTCTTGGTGTATAAAAATGCAACCGATTTCTGTACGTTGATTTTGTACCCTGCCACTTGGCTGAATTCTTGGATCAGATCTCGTAGGCTTCTGGTGGAGTCTGTCGGGTTTTCGATGTAGATCATCATGTCATCTGGGAAGAGTGAAAGTTTGACTTCCTCTTTGCCAATTCTGATGCCTTTGATTTCCTTATGTTGTCTGAAGGCTGATGCTAGGACTTCCAGCACTATGTTAAACAACAGTGGTGAGAGTGGACATCCCTGTCGTGTTCCAGATCTCAGGGGGAAAGCTCTCAGTTTTTTCCCGTTGAGGATGATGTTAGCTGAAGGCTTCTCATAGATGGCTTTGATGATGTTTAAGTAGGTTCCTACTATCCCGACTTTCTCTAGAGTCTTTATTAAGAAGGGAAGCTGTATTTTGTCAAATGCTTTTTCTGCATCTATTGACAGGATCATATGGTTTTTATCTTTACTTTTGTTGATGTGATGGATCACATTGATTGATTTGCGAATATTGAACCAGCCCTGTAACCCAGGAATGAATCCCACTAGATCTTGGTGGATGATTCTTTTTATGTGCTGCTGGATTCGATTTGCAAGGATCTTGTTGAGGATTTTTGCATCCATATTCATCAAGGATATTGGCCTGTAGTTCTCTTTTTTCCTGGATCTCTATCTGGCTTGGGAATCAGAGTGATGCTGGCTTCATAAAATGAATCCGGGAGTTTTCCTTCAATTTCTGTTTTTTGGAATAGCTTGAGAAGAATTGGGATTAGTTCTGTTTTAAATGTCTGGTAGAATTCCCCAGGGAAGCCATCAGGTCCAGGGCTCTTATTTGTTGGGAGATTTTTGATAACTGGTTCGATTTCTTCACTCGTCATGGGTCTGTTCAGATTTTCTATTTCTTCCCGTGTGAATTTTGGTAGTGAGTGTGTGTTTAGGAATTTGTCCATTTCTTCTAAGTTGTCCAGTCTATTGGCATATAATTTTTCATAGTATTCCCTGATAATTGCTTGTATTTCTGAGGTGTTGGTTGTAATAAATCCATTTTCATTCACAATTTTGTCTATTTGGATGCTCTCTTTTTTCTTTTTGAGGAGCCTGGCTAGAGGTTTGTCAGTTTTGTTTATTTTTTCAAAAAATAACCAACTCTTGGTTTCATGGATTTGTTCACTTGTTTCTTTGGTGTGTATATTGTATATTTCTGCTCTGATTTTTACTATTTCTCTTCTTCTACTGGGTTTAAGGCATTCTTGTTACTCTGCCTCTAGTTCCTTTAGGTGAGCTGTTAGATTTGGACTTGTGCTTTTTCCAATCTCTTGAAATAGGCCTGGAGTGCAATGTATTTTCCTCTTAGGACTGCCTTTGCCGCATCCCGTAGATTTTGGATTGTTGTGTTTTCATTTTCATTTGTTTCCATATATTTTTCTTAATGTTTTACTTATTTCTATGAGAGAGAGAGAGAGATAGCGTGAGCAGGGGAGGGTCAGATAGAGAGGGAGTCACAGACTGAAACAGGCTCCAGGCTCTGAGCTGGCTGTCAGCACAGAGCCCGACGCGGGGCTCGAACCCACGAACCACGAGACCATGACCTAAGGGAAAGTCGGACGCTTAACCGACTAAGCCACCCAGGAGCCCCAACTTTGGTACACTTTAACCAAGAGGTGAAAGAACATCACATGTATTATAAGACAGGCGCCCCTGTTTCCATATATTTTTTAATTTTGTCTCTAATTGCCTGATTGGCCCATTTATTCTTTAGTAGGGTGTTCCTCATCCTCCATATGTTTGGAGGTTTTCCAGGCTTCTTCCTGTGATTGATTTCAAGTTTCAAAGCATTATGATCTGAGAGTGTGCATGGCATGATCTCAATTCTTTTATATTTGTTGAGGGCTGCTTTATGTCCCAGTATGTGATCTATCTTGGAGAATGTGCCATGCGCACTTCAGAATAAAGTGAAATCCCTGGCCTCGGGATGTAAAGTTGTAAATATATCTGTCAGATCCATCTGGTCCAATGTGTCTTTCAAGTCTATTATTTCTTTTGTTATTTTCTGTCTGGTTGACCTATCCATTGCTGTAAGCGGAGTATTAAAGTCCCCTGCTATTAGCACATTCTTATCTAAAAGCTTGTTTCTGTCTGTGATTGTTTTAAATATTTAGGTGCTCCCATATTCGGTGCGTAGACATTTATGATTGTTAGTTCTTCCTGATGAATGGATCCTGTAATTTTTATGTAATGCCCTTCTTCATCTCTTGTTATTGTCTTTAATTTAAAGTCCAGTTTGTCTGAAAGAAGTATAGCTACCCCGGCTTTCTTTTGATTTCCCGTAGCATGATAGATATTTCTCTATCCCCTTATTTTTAATCTGAAGGTATCTTCCTGTCTAAAATGAGTTTCTTGTAGACAGCATATAGATGGGTTTTGTTTTTTTATCCCTTTTGCTACCCTATATCTTTTGACTGGAGCTTTTAGCCTATTTACATTCAGTGTTATTATTGAAATATGTGGGTTTAGAGTCTTTGTGTCCTTTGTAGGTTCATGTTTATGGTGGTGTCTCTGGTATCTTTGTTCCTTGCAACATTTCCTCAGATCATCCCCCTCAGAATTTCTTGTAGGGCTGGTTTAGTGGTGACAAATTCTTTCAATTTTTGTTTATTTGGAAAGACTTTTATCTCTCGTTCTATTCTGAATGACATACTTGTTGGATAGAGGATTCTTGGCTTCATATTTTTACTGTTCATCACATTGAAGATCTCTTGCCATTCCTTTCTGGCTTGCCAAGTTTCAGTAGATAGGTCTGTCACCACTCTGATAGGTTTCCCTTTGTATATTAGGGCCCTTTTCTCCCTAGCTGCTTTCAAAATTCTCTCTTTGTCCTTGCATTTTGTCACATGGCAATTTTTAAAACATGCAACTTCCAGAAAGTCTCATTAAAAATTTTGCACTATATCTTGTTTCTCTCACTGCATGGGAAAAAGTTTAGAATTAAAAATTTATGAAAATATTTGGTAATAAGAAAACAAATTTGTTGTTTAGCTCTATGTCTCTCTGAACTCCCAGAAACAGACAAAAAATAATGTAAACACTGATTTTTTTCTCTTAAATTTCAGTTACCTACCTCATATTTTACCATGCCATCTTGTGTTCTTTACCTGGACCTACTGGAAATCTATATTTGCAATCCCACAGCAGCCAAACCAGAAGGTAAGAGTACTGGTTACTCCATAAAGACTAAAGACAGAGGAAAGTAGAAATGCCAAAAGCAAAACAAAACAAACAAATAAACAAAATAAGAAGAGATTTTTAAAAAAATCAAAGAATCTTCCATTACAAAAGAGAGATTCAGGGTAATCTTTAAAAAGGACTCTTAGTGATAAAAGTAAATTAAAAGGAGAATAGTCTGTTGAAGGCTAGTGTATTACAAAATCACTAGCCATAGATACCTTGAAGACTATGGAGCCATTATATTAACTAGTTATTTAATTAAAGAAACAAGAACCAACTTGGATACTGATGATTCATCTAGTTCAATTCTCTAAAACTCTATTATATTACAACCCAGCGATACTCTGGAAGACAACTCCTAGAAAAAGTTACAATAGTTAAATTATTATTTTCAAACTGTACTCCCTTGAATCAAAGTGTTTCATACAATGGTTGAGAGGGTTTATCAAAGAGTTTATAATTGTATCATTTATACTGTAACTACTGTAAAACAAATTAGGTTGTAAAGGAAAAAAAAATGAATGACGAAATAGATTTAAACAGCTTCCAAACATTAGGAAAAATACTGATTTAAATTTCTCCACTTATGGAACCAAAATGATACACAAGAAAATTAAATTAAATACAAAAGAAAACAGCAATACAAGAATTGAGAAGCATAAGAGATATAAGATATATAGAAAATAAATAGCAAATGGCAGCAGCCCTTCCTTATGAGTAATTATTTGAAATATATATAGATTAAACCATCCAACTAAAAGGCAGACTGACAAATAGATAAACATTATCCTCTATTTTTAAATTTTTATTATTTTTTTAAATTTTAATTCCAGTTTAGTTGACATACAGTGTAATATTAGTTTCAGATGTACAATTTAGTGAGTCAGCACTTACATACAACACATGATGCTCATAACAAGTTCACTCCTTAATCCCCATCACCTATTTAACCAATCCCCTCACCTGCCTCCTGTCTGGTAACCATGAGTTTGTTCTCTATTAAGAACCCGTTTCTTGTTTGTCTGTCTCATATCTTCCTCTGTTCATTTGTTTTGTTTCTAAAATTTCACATATGAGTAAAAAAATATGGTATTTGTCTTTCGACTGAATTATTTTACTTAACATTATATTCTCTAGCTCCATCCAAGTTGTTGCAAATGGCAAGACTTCATTCTTTTTATGGATGAATAATATTCTAGTATGTGTGTATATATGTATGTATATACTGGAATATATATAATAATTATCATTAATAATATATATATCACATCTTCTTTATCCATTCAACTGTCAATGGACACTGGGGCTGCTGCCATAATTTGGCAATTATAGAAAAAAACGCAATAAACATAGGGGTGTATATAATCTTTTGAATTTGAGTTTTTGTATTCTTTGTATTCTTTGGGTATATACCCAGTAACATGATTACTGGATCTAGGGAAGGTCCATTTCTATTTTTTTAAATGTTTAATGTTTATTTATTTTGAGAGAAAGAGAGAGAGAGAGCAAGAACATGCACGAATGGGGGAGGGGCAGAGAGAAAAGGAGAGAGAATCCCAAGCAGGCTCCACACTCTGCACAGAGCCCGACACAGGGATCAATCTCAGAACCGTGAGATTATGACCTGAACCAAAATCAAGATCAGACGTTCAACCAACTGAGCCACTCAGGCAACCCTGATATTGTCATTTTAAACTTTAACTATTTAAATAATTCTTTTTAATTTTGATAATTAAAACTAACACTTGGGGAAACACTTTAATTCGGGAGCTGTCCTTGGGAATATAACTTTTGTGTGGCATACTGTACCTGCTTGAAAGACTGCTAATATGTGATGAAAACTTTGTGGTTATTCAATAAGTAATTTTTGTTTGGAATAAGATGTAATGCCTAGATGCCCTATTTCTGGCACTAACTGGGCCTTTTTGAGGATTAGAATGCAATGAGCTAGGAAACACATTTTGGGTGGACAACTGATGATACATTGGGGTGTATTTGGTATTAGAGAAATTAATATCATGTCTATCAAATAAGCGCCCAAAACTCACGTTTTCTTTTTCGCAGTTAAAAATGTCAAAAATGTGGTCTTAAATGTTAGACATTTAGAGTTCTTATCTGAATCTTATAATTATCCCACCCAGTTTAGGCCTACAAAATTCCCAACCACTCAGCCTTTCTAGTTGCCTGTAAGCTTTCCAAATAGTGTAAAGGAGACAACTCTTTTTATTGAGTTAAAATTCACATAATATAAAATTCCATTGTTTTAAATGTTTATATATTTCGAAAGAGCATGTTTGTGTGTGAGCTGGGGGAGGTACAGAGAGAGAATCCCAAGCAGGCTCTGCACTGACAGCATGGGCTGATGTGGGGCTCTATCCCATGACGTTGAGATCATGACCTGAGCTGAAATAAAGTCAGACACTTAACCGAGCCACCCCATCATTCCTAAGATTCCATTTTTTTTTATTTATTTCTAGGAGAGAGAGAGACAGCTTGAGCAGGGGAGGGTCAGAGAGAGAGGGAGACATGGAATCCGAAGCAGGCTGCAGGCACTGAGCTAGCTGTCAGCACAGACCCCGACGTGGGGTTAGATCCCATGAACCATGAGATCATGACCTTAGCCGAAGTTGGACACTCAACCGACTGAGCCACCCAGGTGCCCCATAAAATTCCATTTTTAAAGTATACATTTCATAATGTATAATTAAATGGCATTTAGTACATTCACAGTGTTGTGCAGCCATCACCACTATCTAGTTGCAGAATAGTTTCATCACCTCAAAAGGAAACCCCATATGCATTAATAATTCCCTCTTTCCCTCATCCCCAGATCCTGACAACCATTAATCTACTTTCTATCTCATTATATTTCCTTTCATTCTGGATATTGCATATAAATGGTATCAAACAATATGTAATATTTGGTGTCTGGTGTCTTTCTGTTAGCATAATATTTTCAAGGTTCATCCATGCCGTGGCATGTATTAGGATACACTCTTGTTATGGTTGAATATTCCATTTATGACTATACCACTTTTGGTTTATCCATTCATCTTTTGATGGATATTTTGGGCCTTTCCATATTTTGGCTTTAGTGAATAGTGCTCTATGAACAATTGTGTATAATTGTTTAAACATGTGTTTTCAATTCGAGTTCATACCTAGGAATAGTATTGCTAGGTCACATGATAATTTTATGTTTAATTTTATGTTTTTCAGTATGAGAAACTGAAAAACTGTTTTCCACACCAGCTGTACCATTTTACATTCCCAGTATTAATGTATGAGGATTCAATTTCCCACATCCACATTAGCACTTCTGTTCATTCGTTCGTTCTTTCTTTCTTTCTTTCTTTCTTTCTGCCCCCCTCTCTCTCTTTCTCTCTCTCTCTGCCCCCCCTCCCTCTCTTTCTTAACATATATATATGTATGTCTTGGACTTCTTAGTGGGTGTTAAGTGGTATCTCACTGTAGTCTTGATTTACATTTCTCTATGGCTAATGATGTCAATCATCTTTCCATGTGCTTATTATCTATTCATATATATTCTCATTCATTAGTCGGATTGTTTGTCTTTTTGTTCTTGAGCTGTAAGAATCTTTATATATTCTGGATACTTGACATTTATCAGTTATGTATTTTGTGAATATTTTCTCACATTCCATGGGTTGTCTTTTCACTCTGTTGGTAATGTTTTGATGCCCAGAAGTTTTAAATTTTAATGTAGTCCAATTTATCTACTTTTACTTTTGTTTTCTCTGCTTTTGATGTCATATACAAAAAATGATTGCTAGATCCAATGTCATGAAATTTATTCCCTATGTTTTCTTCTAAGGCTTTTGTAGTTTTAGTTTTTTTACATGTAGGTACGTAATCTATTTGAGCTAATTTTTGTATATCGTATAAGGTAAGATCCAACTTCTTTATTTTGCATGTGCATGTCCAGTTTTCCCAGTACCATTTGTTGAAAAGGCCATCTTTTCCCCATTGAATGGTCTTGACACCCTTTTCAAAAGTCATCTTACCACATATGGGAGAGTTTATTCATGGGCTTTTACTTCTATTCCATTAGTCTTTGTGTCTGTACTACACTGTTTTGAATCCTGTAGCTTTGTTGTTAGTTTAGAATTGAATAAGTGAGACCAGCAACTTTGTTCTTTTTCAAGATTATTTTGGCTATTTGGGGTTCCTTGATATTTCATATGAATTTTAAGATGGAATTTTCTATTTATGCAAAAAAGTATCATTGGGATTTTGATAGAGATTGCATCAAATCTGTAGACTGCTTTGGGTGGTAACGATATTCTTAACAATATTAACTTTTCTAATCCATGAACATGAGATGTCTTTCCATTTATTTGTATCTAATTGATTTTAGCAATAATTTTTAGTTTTCAGTGTACAAGATTTTCACCTCCTCAATGAAGTTAACCCCTAAATATTTTATTCTTTTTCATGATATTGTAAATATAATTGTTTTCCTAATTTTTCTGACTATTCATTGCTAACACATGGAAATCAACTGATTGTTGTGTGCTGATTTTGTATCCTGCAATTTTGCCAGATTTAATATATTTTTCTAACAGTTTTTTTGGGAGAATCTTTAGGGTTGCTACATATAAGATCATAGTATCTATGAACAGAAGTAATTTTACTCTTTTCTATCCAATTTGGACGCCTTTTATTATTTTTTTCTTGCCTGCTTACACTTGTTAGAGAAAGCGTATCTCTCAGGGCACCTGGGTGGCTGAGTCAGTTGAACATCCAACATCAGCTCAGGTCATTATCTCACAGCTCATGAGTTCAAGCCCTGCATCGGGATCTATGCTGACAACTCAGACCCTGGAGCCTGCATCAGATTCTATGTCTCCCTCTCTCTCTCTGCCCCACCCCCACTCGCATTCTGTCTCTCTCTCAAAAATAAATGAATATTAAAAACAAGAAAGTGTTCCTCTCTTCTCTCTCTACTTTTTAAGATT